CCAGACATTTCAGTCTTAGCATTGTTGGCTCCAACAGCTCAAATGACCTCAAATAAATACGCGATATAGGAAGGGAGAGGTGGTTGCTTACATAACTATCTAATATTTTAATAGACCAAAGGCTAGCAGGACTTTGTGTAAGCACAGATAAAAGCTGGTTAGCATAACTGTAACTACTGCCTCCAAGCAGGGGTGCCACCTCATTGCCATTTTCAGTAGATGTTTTAAAAGTTTTCGATAAAAATATTTTGGAAACTGGTGATTCTCACATCTATCCATTCTATACTGTATTTAAGAAATAGGTATACTACTTCTTAATATATAGCTTAATAGTATTTTTCAAGAAGACTGCTGAACTTGACTCCACTGCCCAAAACACATGCCATGTGCAAAACTAATCAAAAATCATGCCCATGTGGACATTCACCAACAGCTGAAGTCATATGCAAGGAACTTGCTGTATTTATTATTTTGGTGAAGAAAGACGTCTCAGCAGATACAACCAGAGAACATACGGCAAAGTAAATGGTTGCAAAGCCACCCAGAGATAGGTGCCTTTGTGGAGCAAAGTGCTAGCTATGAAAAGGCTTCTAACAGCACGCACAGAAACTGCCTCACTTGATGCCAGCTGTGCTCTAGGAAATGCAATTCCCTATGCACTGTTTGCAGTTAAAAAGGTTAGCATTGAAAACAAACAAAAAAAACAACATAAATATTCTTTCATCATTGATTTCTGTTCTTGGCAGAAAGAATCCTCCAGCCTGGAATACACTGACAGAAGTGGGAACAATATTTCTGCATCCAGTAACTAGACATCACAAGGAGGTGAAAGGTTTTCTCTGAAATATGGCCCAAGCCACAGCCACAGCTCTTCTGGCAGCAGTGAGTGACAACATTGCTGATGGAGCTCAGTAGTCCAAATACAGTCAAAATCCTAGCTCTTTTGCAGTATCTTACACCGAAAGGGGAAGAATTCCTAAAAAAGTCGTGAGACTAATCCCAACTGCTGTAACTCTGAGATCATGTAACAGCCAGCTACGATAATCTCTTCAGTAAATTAATATGGTTTGTCAAGCCAAACTACAAAATAAGAAAGCCATGACTGTGCCATTAGGATTTGCTAATCAGAAACATCCATTTCAAAAACATTCTGAAACTCAGCTGAAATCAACTTCTTATCTCCTTTATTGGTGCTTTCAGAGGAGAAAAAAATGGCCCACCAGCAACCCAGAAAAGTGAGAATGAGGAACAACTGACATTTGATGCATCTTTAGAGAAGGACAGTGAAATTATTTCACCATAGTGCTATTTACTCTGAGGAAACGAAAGAACAAAGATTAGCCTAAAAGGCTAAGTCCAGAAGTACTGAATACTGCTGGCAGATCTAAAGGAGTTGCTAACAGCACAGAGCCCTGTGCTGCTTTTGTCAGCAAGCTCTATGCCCAACTGGAATGCACTGCATAGGCAGTACGTGTTAAACTCTAGAGAACAAAATATGACTCCATAATGTATTTATTGAAGTAAAATTAAACCATCATACAATTACTATTATTATGACTATATAATTACATTGTCTGCATAACAATGTTTTACTGTGAATTTCTTTAGGATTCAAAGGCTCAGTTATATTACTTCACTCAGGAGTAACTTCTATTAATGTCCGCGTAAGAATTGCAATAAGTAACTCGCAGTGTTTTAATTTCAAAATCACTCTTTAAGCCTGAAAAGAGTATTAGAATTAATATCTAATAGTCATTTACGTGGAGCGTAAGAAAAGCTACCCATCTCCTATCACAGGAAAAAATACGTACAGAACTCCCTCACAAAAGGAGATAAAGATAAGAGATATAACTAAAATCCAACATAAATAGACATAATCGATTTCCCAAGCTGACACTGCATTGTAAATTACTTACAACATATAAATAGGTGCAACACTACTCCAGGTCCATTGAAAAAACCAAAATGGCATCACACAAGAAAAATGGCACCGCATAGCTTTCTATTACCCACACTACGACTGAATGAATGAAATGCAAAAGGAGATGTGCCAAGTTACTTGATACTTGCTAGTCAGCTTAATCAGATACTCTCAGTTTCCTGCGGGATGGATAACAAACACTGTTCTGCTGCTTACTGCACACCACGTCCACTAAAATATTTTCTGAGGCAGAATGATCCTAAAAACCTCTGTGCGTCTAATATCGCAAGGGGTCTGGAACCACGCAATCTGACATAATGTAGGAGAAGGAGGTTTAAATAAAAATAATAATGATGAGATATGGCACATGGATAACTGAGATAAAGTAAATTATAAGGTTGTGATGACAGATATCCGAGTTCCTGCCTATCCTTCATTGTAACCCTACCATGTCAAAACCTGACTTGGTGCTCCTGACTGCCCTCTGCCCTTATTTTTAAAAGCCAACTCAGAAGTTCAGAGGAGTATCAAAAATACTTTAAACAAATAATTTTTAAAAAATCTTGTCTGAAGTGTTATCTGAACAACACAAAGCTATTATATATTCAACATACTGAATTAAAAAAAAAAATTCCATTCTTAATTATGACATACATTTCTCTGAAGAAAGGTTAAAAAAGCACGAGCAAGACTATTGCCATGAAGAACTAGGAATTAATGGAAATTCTGCAATGCTTGAATGTTGTTGAAAATACTTTTAACCCTTTTTTGTTCATGAAGATACATCTAGGAGGTACTATTTACTTCCACAGCAGGCTGACTGAAAAGCTTATCTGCCATTTTATTAATAAACATCTCAGCTAAAGTTTTCATCCGTTAGATATGCATATTTTTAGGGGAAACTGGAAAGATTTTCTCTTTCGTTTTTCTTTAATGAGGATACCCAGAAGATAACAGGGAGGGAGAGGAACGTGAGAAGCAAGAGACCATTAAAGCCAAACCACCTGCATTGCAGGTTTACCCTTTACTGAAATTCTTTACTCCCTCCCCAAGTTACACTGAAAAGGAAGAAAAACTAGCCATTTTTGTCTCAAAGAGTCATCCTCCCTCCAAAAGATAAAATATAGAAAAAAAAGTTAGATTTCTCTCCCACTCCATAAAGTAAAAAAAAAAAAAAAAAATTTGTGTCTTTCTCGAGTATTTTTCCTTGCAACCGTTAAGCAAAGCCACAGCTATCAGCCACGATGTGAATTTCCCATTTTCACTGCGCCTTCACTAATAAACTGTTTTTAAAAGAAGAAAATAAAACAGACATTAGTATTCAGGCCTACTAATAAAAGCTAGGAAAAAAATTTTTCAACCTCAACGTCACCTGTCAGACCCCTTCCAAAACCACTGAATTCTTAGAAATCAATCCTTTTGAATCATGAATTTTCCCTCAGATTAATATGAATTTTAAATAATTCACCTTTTTCCAATTTCTAGCTCCTCTCACTCCATTTTTGCCATTGATTTTCTTACAGTTTCAAAATAAAGTAAGTCAGCTTGCAATATGCATTTCACTGCACACAAAGTAATATTTAGGTTCTCATTCCTAAAGAAAAATTGCTCCACATTTTTTTAATTGCCTTGATTTTCTACTCTTCTACAGTCTCACATTTCCCTCAAATTCCCATCCACTGAAAAAAATCTGTAAAATTCTAAAAAACGAATAATGGATTTAAAACCAAAAATTTCTTACTGACAAACTTTCAAAATATTTTTAGTAAAGGCATGTATGGGTGGTACCCAACTTTACCTGTTCCTCTTCTAAAGACAATCTTGATAATATTGGGAAGGCCCTAATAAAAATAGAGCACTCTGTGTCAAGTAATTTTATCTAGTCATTTTTCCTTCAACAGTTAGTGTCCGAAGTATTTTAAAAAAGACGGCAATTACTTTGTTTAACTTTGCAGAATTACACAAGCATAAAAATTTAGCATTTACAGTATCCAATACCTCAGAAAAACTTAGAGTCTATCTAGTAATCCAGAATATTTAGGTCCTCTATCTTTAATCATTCTCCTGTCCCAAAGATCACTTTGTTTTGTGTCTGGCTGCCTCCGATTCCTCTCTTCTCCCTCTCCCCGGCCTCACACTACCCACAGCCCCTCTTTGCTCTGCCCAGGATCCAAGCGAAGGGGAAGTCCGGGTGTATTTTTTCCTAGGCAAGCTGGAGCCAGACCTCTTGCAACAGAGAATACCCAACCTGAAGACAGGGGAATACAGTTGCTTCCCACGTCATCACAGGAACACGCTGTACAGAAACCACAGTCCCATGACTCGGAGCACATCTCAAGCAAGAAGCTCCGAGATGATCCTCTCTCTCTCCACTGAGCATGGGGAACTTGAAACTACATTCCTAACTGCTTCTTACCATTTCCTTGTCCCCGTGCAAACTTAAATCCATCCAATCCCATTGTGCCTTACTCTCTTTCACCTTCCTTTTGATTTTTCATGCAGTCTCTGCCTTTCAACCCACACTGTGTTGGAATAGGGATGCTGCCTAGTTTCACCTCTACATTGAGTACCCTCCATTCTGTTGCTGCTCAAAAGCAAGATGCCAATTCCACTGGGGGGGAAAAAAAAAAAAAAAAAAAAATCACAAAAATAACACATTTAAGGAAATGGTGACTCTCTCTTTTTAATCCTGCCAGCAGTAATGAGCGAGAGGACAGCCAACTTCACTGAGGGAAGATTAGTGTAACGCTCCTTATTGTACCATGAAAGTTCTTTGTTTCCTTTGTTTTATAAATGTTTATGTATAAACAGTAGGGTTTTCAGTATCAGAATCATGATTTGAGAAAAAGATATTCACAATTAACTTTCTACCTAGATACTCCCAGATTCCAGAAAAAGAACCACACCTGATTCAAAATGCTTCCCAAAGAAAAAACTGTTACACATGAAAATGCCTGAAAACATATTTGTCTTTCTGTGGCATCCTTTGGATACACTGCTCAGTGTTTCAGTTCATTAGTAGCATTTAGCCTGAGCTCTGTCTTTTAAAGACTTAGGATGAAAGTAGTATCTTACTTACTTTGTGTCTCTGACGAGAGGTGCACTTCCCAGTTTAAAACAGTTTTTTTCCCCTCCACAAGATGTTTGCCTCAAAGAAAAGCTTTCTGCCAGATCAAACCCTGTGAAATATGATACAATGATTTAGTTTATTTAATGGAATTTAAAAAACAGAGGTAAATACTGAGTTTTAGCATGCTTGGCAACTTTCTAGAGTACAGACTGACAAGCTTCTTTGAAAACCAGTACTTAAGTCAGAGAAACTTTCAATGTTCATTTTATTGACAGAGAAACTATCGGTGCAAAATTCACTTAGTAGATGACTTTGCAGCCTGAGAAATACATTCATTATTTCCGTTTATCATCTGAACTGATAATAACAAAGGATGTTTGGGAAAAACAACGGAAATGACCGTGACTGCCAAACTTGAACCAATACTTTCCAAGAACACATTCTGATTTTAACCCCACCTTCCTAAAAACAACAGCAGCTTTTGGAGCATGGGGGTGGCATTCTGTACTGTCCTTTCAGTTTTAAAGATGGCTTCAGCTGGACTATGATTACATCCACTACTAGTTGATTAATTTAGATATCCATATTAATGTAGTCATTTACCTGAAACACCGTCTCTGTTGATTTGTTTGAGATGATGGACAACTGTTTTCATTAAAGGACACACAGCGCCTTCAAGAGAATACAGTTTAGTATCTATCATAAAATTCTATCAAACAAAAATTAACCAGAACTATCATGACAGTAACAAGAATGTTTCTTTTTGTTTCTTTAGGATATGAAAACCGGCAATAAATCAAATTACAAAATCTAAATAAGACCAATGATATTTCAGATCTCATACTACACTTCTAATAGTATAAGCAGATGCAAATTTTATCACATTTTGATTCAGCTGTTTATGATTAAAGCTCACACGAACAATATAACCAGAAGAAAAACACTAAATTCTTATGAAGCTCTTTCCATCTACAATGCTCTACAAAGCAATAACATCTGTTCTAAGGTTTTTTTAATATTTCTGGCTATATTATTAGAAAATCTCTTTTTTCCCCCATTAATGGACATGAAACAATAACGCATAAATGCTTGATTACCATGACAATAATCTATTGTTATTTCAGTGAACAATAATTTCAAAATGTGGATTAACAAGGCTATAATCATATCATATAATAAACAATGTAAGCAATACTTATATTTTGAAAAAAATGGTTGAAAATTAAGCAGCTTTACAGGGGATTAAGTCTGAACCAAAGTAGGTAAACAAGCAAAATGTTCTCAAAACTGGAACATGGTAAGTTCTAAGGTTAAAATCTAACTGAACACTTAGATCAAACACTGTATTATTAATATGCAGTCTCTTACTTGCATAAAATCCTTTCTTCTCTTTTTTTTTATATACACAGGAATACACACTTTTAAAAAGCAAATACAGAGAAATGTCACTTTTGTGCATGGGTCTGAAATAGGGCTCTTTCTTTAACAAACTTTGCAAACAGCCCTGCTAAACCCTAATAAAACTATCAAACGGAAGATGCCAAGCAGGATTTGGCCCATGCGCTTATTGAGCACAGAGCTCCACATTGAGCTGACGCAACTAAAAAGATGGCCAAGGTATATCTGCAGCTGCTGAACAGTGAAGGCTGAGGGGCTTTCTGAAGCATCAGTTCAATGAAAAAAGTAAGGAGGAATGTCCTACCATTAACCTGGAAATCATCTATATTTAAGACTTTCCAAGAGCATCCAGACTGAAACTTGGCATTCAAAATAGCTATATTTGTAATCTTAAAGCATGTGAAATTTGTCATTCATTCTGTAGTAATGTAGAAAGCATATTATCCTTCAAAAGTCTTAAATTCTACTAAATGTGTTACGGTATTTCATCTGGATTAAGAATGGCTAATTGGAAATAACCGGTAAAAGGGAAACTAAATTATATAATACAGATATAAAGACACCTCCTGACAACGTGATTAATGAAAGCTATGTCAATTGTTCCACGGCCTTTACGTCTAAATTGCAATCTACAATTACAAGTAACATTGGTCATAAATTAATTTATTTCTAAGGCTCTAAGAGAATGTATTCTTTCCTTCCTTCATATATATACATAAATATGTCTATATACATGCATTTATCTATACAGATAGATAGATATAAAGTTTCATGACAAATGAGATGAAACATATGAATTAAAAACACTGTAAATTCCCTTTGCCCAGAAAAAGAAGCAGAACAGTAGAGAATATTCATGTTGAAATCTCTGAAACTGAAATGAAATCTTTCATCATTCTTGGTTTGCAGGGAATTTTATGTAGTGTGAAAAGCATTCAGTGGAATTACATACTAACAGCAATTTCAATACACCATTTGATATATACACGCACTATGGGACAGAAACAGGCTCACCTTAGATACCCTTTAATCTACAAACCTCAGCTTTCAATCACTTATAAAGATTATTAAACTATAGACTTTTATCTATAGCCACTCTAAAACAATGAATGTGGTTATGACAGATTTACACAAGCATAACTATAAGAAATATGTTGGCATAAAGGAAGCCTGTTATGGCTGAAGCTGCAATAGCATGTCACATGTATATTGACAAATGTTTTTCTTAAATCTACATGTTTCTAACCAAGTTTTTTTTAATATATATAAATTTATATATT